TAATTGAATTGGGGAAACCCTTTTGGGCCCCCCTTTGGAAAAAAAAAAAAAAAAATTTGCCCCTCGGGTTTGGTCCCTGGGGAAAAAATTCCCCCCCCCCGGGGGGGGGGGGGGCAAATTTTTTCCCCCTTAGGGCAGAAAATTTTAAGGGTGGCCCCCCCCCCCCCCCCCCCGCCCCCCGCCCCCCGCCCCGTGCGCCCCCCTGGGAAACACGACCAATCACAGCGACAACCGCTGACGAAAGAAGAGAGGGCGGAGGCAGAAAAGGTATTGGCGGAGGCAGCGGCGGCAGGAGGTGGTGGCCTGGAAAGCGCGCACACTCAGCAGGCATTACCGGGGGGGGATGCAGGGGCGGGAGCAGATGCAGACACTACGAGACCAGACCTTATCGATCCGGTCGAGTTTTTGAAGGAGTTCGATGCCTGGGTGGACGGGAAGTACCCCGGCGACAGAGGGCGTTCAACGAAGGTTAAGGTGGCCTTCCGAAAGGTGACTAACGCGCGTACGTATCGTGGGCATGGGTTGTTGTCTAATGATAGTAAATGTTGGCAATGACTTTGCGCACCGTTCTGTTCTGTGTCATGGGTGTGTTGGTTGAAAGTCTCATCTTCCAACGTAGTCTCAGAGTATGGGTCAGTGATACGCCGGAGCCCTTTCCCGAATCAAGACCTTCGAAATCGGTTCAGCTTCAGAAGATCCCCGAAGCGGGTGCTCCGTTAGCGAAACAGACAAGCGCACACCCGCAGAACATTTTTCCTCAGGCCAAGGTGCAAGTCGAATGTGCAAATATTGGATCCGAGAGAGGCGTGGACGAAAGACTCGCAGTATGCCAACTCGGAACAGCTTGGGTGCCTCACGGCTAGCTCTGTTGTACTCGTCTTTTGGAGTCAAGTTTTGTCGTACACGTATGACTTCCCCCATGCACAGGATGAGTTTTTCAGCGACTTGACTGCAGCGAGCTACCCTCGCGCACCGATTTCATTTTTTTCAAGTTGCTTTTGCGTGCTCATGTACATCCAGACGCCGAGGGGGGCTCGTTAACTTTGGACCCCAGGCCTGAGCTCACTGGTGCTAGCGGCTACTGCAGGGCTGCAGACTCTCAAGCTGGGGGTAGTTTGAAGCCTTTTTCGATTGCAATGCATGCGGTCTTCCTGGCACTGACGAGTTTTTTTTTCTTGTGGACCGGCAAGGGTGCACGGAGAATGCGTATTGCAAACCTAGGCACCTCCAGAGGCGGCGATACCCTTAAACCCCGTGAAAACTGAAGGCCCAAGAAATGTTTGTTGAACTTGCTCAAAAGTACCACGCCTCTGATTTGGTTTCGATTTCCACCCCTTGTAGTAGGCGGGTGTTGTTTCACTCTTCTTCGTGCACCCTTGAGACCGCGGCACCGTCGCGTGTTGGAACCTTGAAGTTAGCTTGGACGACAACCACGCCGCACGTTAAACCCAAACGACTTTTGTGACAGTGCTGGTCCGAACAAATGTTTCCAGCACAACGAAATCTCCGGCAAAGGCAAATTTCCTTACTACCGTAAACGACGGAGTTTTCCCCCCGTAGTAGAGTTTCCCCCCCCGCCATTACCTTTTCGGCCTGGAAGCATAGTTTCTTTGAGTTGGCCCCGAGGTAGATCGTTTTCGACCAAAGAAAAAGATCCCCCCGGGTGTTTCAATTTCCCCCCGGGGTACCAGTTTTCCCACGAGTTCCCCCGGGGGGCATGTATTTCCCTTATTTTCTGAGTAGATTTTGTTGCATCGCGGAGCACAAAAAGCATGATACGGGAAGGAAAATTCATTTGCAGATCTACGCTTCGAGCGAGATTTAGGTGTACCGTTTGTCACTTGACCCTCGCTGCTGTTTTATGGTGAAATACTTTCGTTTTAGAGTCATATTCTTGCATTTATCATCCCTGGAGTCCAGATAAAACGTACCATGGCATGCCGGGGCTAAATCTTATCGACACTCTCTGTGTGTGTGGTGTGTGCGCCATCATTATTTTGCACACACGCCCGGGGGGGGAATCCCCCCGGGGTAGCGTTGGGAAAAAAAAAACTAACTCCCCCGCGGTTGTCAATTTCCCCCCGGGGGTTTGGTTTCAGAAGAAAAAACGCTCCCCTCCCCGGGGGAAAACTCCGTCGTTTACGGTATCTCGAAGATTTTTTGTGATACTTTTTTTGTTACCACACCTCAGCCAGGCCGGTTGATTGACCACCAAACGATGACCTCGAGCGTTGCGTTGTTCCCCCGTCGCTCCCCACGCATGCCCGCTGTCGCACCCCGCGTCGCCCCCAACAGCAACATCGGGCGGTCGTCTCCAAGCTTAACCTCGAAGACATTGAAGAGATAGCGCAAGCCATGCAGTAATAGTCGAGACCCCAAGGGCTCGATTGTAATGCACCGCACAGCCCCAGGGACCTACCTCGCTAGGATGGCGGGGGGGTGACGGCTTCTCCCTTGGATTTTTGCCGGACGCGTACCCAGATGGCGGTATTTTTATTCTGCGTAGACCCCTTTCGTGTCCCGTTGTACTTTTTTGTTATCGAGAACGTTGTTGTCTGAGGGTGTGATCACACCCATTTGTTTGCCAAAGAAGCTCAACGAAATCATTTCTGTCCCACGAACCATCTTGGTGTCGCCTGGCGTGCAAGACGAGGATCCTCTCGCCAAGTCGCCTGTGGGTACGAAGTCTCTCAGCAAGGGGGGAAGGCCGTGTGTGCGTTGAGTTGAGTCGGCGGGTAGGGCGCAAGTTTTTGTAGCGGTTTTTGTGGCACCGTTCGCGTAGGTTGAGCGCAATTCCTGCTTGCGGGTGTGTCGGCGCCAGAGAGCGGCTCTTCTCTGAACGTATCCCCCTCGTGCTTTGCGGCGCTGGTATGTAAGTGTGTGCGTGTCCCCGTTTGGGTTCCTTTGTGATTGTGCAGAGCTGTGGTACACTTGAGGCTAGATACGTTTTTTGTTCAACGGTGGCAATCTTACTTGGCTTGCCGTCTTTTTAAGCAACGAAATATCTCGTGTCATGGGTCATGTACCTCTCTCTCCAACTGTCAAATTCGGTGATTTGGTACCACGAAACAAATGGCCGGACTTGTTTCTTGCGCAGATACTCCCCCTCCGGGTCCGTGGGAACAATGCTCTGTCCTTTCGAGGACGCGCGGGCAATGGAACACCAACTAAAGGCACGCAATACATGAGTATGCCCCCCGTCGGTGGTGTAGGGGTTAGGTCGCGCAGCTCGGTCCACACCATGTACGGCACCTGGAGCCACACATCCTCATACACAATTGTATGCCCTGGTTGAATACGGACCGACGCTCTGGATGGCGTCACTGAAGGATTTTTTTTTTCACTATCCGGAAATTTGCTTGAAAAAGATTGAATAAACTTTGCTCGTATTTCCTGGGGCCTTCGTGGCTAGGGAGGACCGGAACGTGCTCTAGATTCTGGCCATAGTCACACATTGACGCAAGATTCAGGTTGAAAGAAAACGACCAGCGCGGCATCATTTACGCGGTAAAATCACGGCCACCGCACCACAACCACTACCGGATGAGCCCAAGCGCCGCCATCTTCTGGACCACGATAAGCTGCGGCGGCCGGAAATACCCCCGATGGTTGGCGAATGCGATGGAGTTCCCATTACAGTGCGATTAGTAACGCGTGAAAAAGCCAATGTGGCAGGGGGGAACCAATAACAGACAAACCGAGGTCAGTTAAGAGAGTCAAGTACAGAAAAGTCTATTCGTAGGCCAATCACACGGTGCGGGCTTTGAAAACAGGCGGAGCTGTCAAACAGCATTGTGTCGAAATGCACGGGGACACCAGCAGCATCCCTCACGCAGCCAACTCTCCAGACAAGCTGGCGCTAGCAGGGTTGCACTTGAACATCGTCACCCAAGCACCACAACGCGAACGTTACCTCTGTGTCTTTACGTATCCAGTTGATGAGGGTGCGCTTTTCCTGCCGCTCTCGCTCGTGCTGCAGCTGGAGGCGTCTCGACCGGAGCGGGTGTCCGCCGGCCTTTTCAAGCGCGGCGGCTCGGCACGCTTCCTCCGCGCATTCGTCCATGATTATTTGCCGAATTTGACTGCGGCATGGGAGGCATACAGAGGGCGCGATCAGTAAGGGAGGGGTGGCGGGGCTCGTGCAGGAGCAGGGTAGCGGATGATCATCACCGGGTGGTAAAGGAGGGACCCATTGACCTGACTGTGTAGTCCGATGTGTACCCACCCGTACAAGTGGTCAACGAGTGGGTGGTCAAGCAGCTTGGTGGACTGCCCGCGGTAGAGACACACCTGAAATAGCGGTCCCTCATTTCTTGCGCTTGCAACATGGTTCGACGAACACGCTCGTCCTCTTGAGCCGTGCCTGCCGCCGACGAGAACGTCGCCATCGCGTCTTCGCTGCTCTCGATCGGCCAGTTGCTCTCGCGCTTGCGGACCGGTGACGACTTGTGGCTGCCTCCCTCTAGCGATGGGCAACTGTTCCCACTCTTCCCACCTCCACGGTCGTCACCTCCGCTTTCATTTTCAGCCGTGCCACCCGGCCACCCTGCTGCCAACGCTGAGGTCATCTTGGCTAATTCGCGACAACGCAATGGCGGCTCCTGCGGGGGCGGTACCCAAAACGGTGACATTGCCCGTTTCGTTGAGCGGGGCGTGGCGGGCTCTTGGTGGCTCGGGTGGTTCAGCGTGTCTGTCGCAAACGTCACACTGCTCGTGCTGCTGCCACCTCCACCGCCGCGTTGATTGTTGGCAGCGGGTGAAGAAGAACCACCCCCGGTTGTGTACGGCCTCTTCCTTCGTCGCACGGTCGGCGGCGACGTCGACGTGTGCTTCTGGTTGGACCCGCCCCCGTTTTTATCGGGAAATACCGTCCTGGCCTTCGTTTCCGTGGTGCTCGGCAAGCGGGGACGACCGCGGAGGGTGCCACATAAGTCGTCGTTGTCCCCCTCGCTGTCGGAATTGGAGTGGTAGTGGTAGTCGTAGTGCGGCGTGAGGACATCACCGCCACCAGGTCGCTCTGTTCCTTCTCCCTCCTTGTCGTGCCACCGCGCCTCGACTCCGCTGCGGTACCTCCTCCCAACACCACCACGCACGCGATGCTCGGCCTGTGAAATCTTCACCCGGTCTGGATCGCAAGGGATAGAGGTCGACGTCTGCCCCTCCCGCTCCTCGTCAGATTCCTTCTCGCCGCACCAAAGACCTATCCACCCGCCACGTTCTACCGAATAGGCCAAAGAGCTTTCACGACCTGACGGGTTTTCACACATGCGGCATTTTGTGGCGCAGGGTGATCGATGGTCTTGAGAATAGACGTTGGGGCTGCTCAGTCGGCGCGAGCAGGACACCCATTGCCCTACCCTTGACGCTTACCCTAACACTCACCTGAGGCGGCGAATTCTCCTCGTAAACCCGGACGATCCACAGCTCCTGCGCCGTCACCTGGTGGTCCGGCGGTACTCGCACGTCCACCTGGCTCCGGAAACTTCCACCGGCGCCGCCTCAACTCCAAGGGTTCCCCCGTTTCCGCGTCGGAGATTCTTCCACAGAAGAGGTGAGCAGGTGCGGTACGGGGTGCCCGGCCGTTGGCATTGCCACCGTCGCCGAGCTCCACAAGCTTTCGCAGCGGCTGCCGCAGCCGATGAGGCTGCTCAATGTTAATCTTGGACGAACCGGCGCAAGGTTCGAGTCGATCAGACGGTAAATCGTGAAAGCCTTGGCCGGAATCGTCGAAGATTTTGTGGCGGGGCCCAGGAGGTTGTGAGATCAGCTCTGGCGACAGAGGTGATGGTGGCGATCGCAACTTGGGCTGATTCAACGGAAACACGAGGGAGTCGCAGCCGACGTCGATGCTGAAAGATCTGTTTTGCCAGCGGCTCATCGTTCTGTTGCTGGTGGTGGTGCTGGTGCTGCTGTCTTGGGTGATAATCTTTGTTCCTGCTGCGTGAAGTGACGCCCATGCTTCCGGGTTGTCCCGAATAGCGTCTTTTTCTCTCGCCCATCTGTTTGGCGAAAGCCAAGGTGAAAAAAAACGCTCGGTGAGCGTAGCCACACAGTTGCCGAGAAGAGTTTTTCAGGCAGCTCTCGTTCCAAAGGTTGGTAACTCGTGGAACCTATGGTTCAAGTCATGGAGGCAACTCCGTTTAAGTTCGTTCGCCCGTGTTGCGCTCTCGTCGCAATGAGGAGGATGGCTTGCATGATGCGCACGGCATCGGCATAGCTACATTCACAGGGCAGTACTGTAGCTAAGGAATCGGCGAGTGCGCGTTTGGGGGCGGGGCGTATACAAAATACCTCGTTGCGAGCGGAATACACCACCAGTGAGATTGTCAGCAACGTAGGCCAGGAACCGACGACGTTCTCAAAGGCTAACGGCGAAAACCTCACAATTTTCGAGATTGACAATACGACTCTCCCGTGTCATGGTTCCATGCTCGACAGACACGGCGCTACTCCTGATGACTACAGTACGACACCGTCAGTCAATCGTTTTTGTCCACGCGATGCCTTCGAATGGAAGACAATGGCATCATTAGCACAAAGAAACATATTAGGCGGGCAGTCCACATCTGGTTACTGCGCTTGCGGTGTACGGTAGCGAGTTGTATGCAAACGTTTCGCCGGACGGCGCAGGCCTCACGTCGCACCTCAATCTCGAAGAAACTGCTGTCTTGGAGTTGATGCTTTTCGTTGCTTTAATCCTCTCCGCGAGGTTATTTTTGGCTTCGATGGATTGCTGGAGTCCCTCCCGTCGGTGATTCTCCGCCCTCCGGAGTCGATTTAGTGTTTTGATCTGCTCGTCCCGAGAGACGAGGATTCTTGCTTGGGCGTCCTGGAGCTTCGAAGGCCTGAACAGAGGTGCAGCAGTACAGCACGGGCCCGGAGATAAGAAACGTCAAATTCGGGTCGAGGCTCAATCCCTTGTTTTGGGTCGAAGGGCCAGCCGAAATCGTCCATTTTCTTTAAAGGCATTTCTTATTCCTTTGGACTGTTGCATCCTCCCGATTATTTTATTCCTGATCATATTTCTGGCTACGTATAAAAAATGAAGCAGTGGGTAAAGCAGCCCGCGGAGGCGCGGAGTAGCTAGCGCGGAGCCGGGGGGGCACGCGACAATAACCACTCTTCCCCCCTACGAAAAACACTACTGTTCAGCTAGGTACGGGGTGGGTGGGAGCACGGAAGGAGCGGCACGTTTCTTGCTTTGGACACGCTCCCCCAGCAACCCTTGGTTATGTATTGGGGGTTATCGAACGATCGTTTTTCTTATTGGGACGTTTGCTATGTTGTGGCCGAGAATGAGCTGTGTTCATCGTCCTTTTTTCTTCTTGTATTGTTCGTAAAAAGTTGAGCCATATTTTCTTAATGGAGCCTTTCTTAATTAATTGCGGGCCCGTGCTGCTGTAGTCTGAAGAACAATTCCGACCGGAACGCATATGAAACACCAACCGCGCAATTTTGGGGACTCGTATCGCGGTAGGAACGTACTGCCACAATCTCGTGCGTGCCTACCCGTGCTATTGGTGGTAAGCACCACTCTGTACAAGGGGAACGCGTCTTGTTGTGGGATTGAAGCTAGTTTTACGTCCGCAGACAAGGAGCTTCCTTTCGTTCACGAACTTGCTGTACCAGCGACAATGGCTACCGTCTCACATTGTGCCATCAGCACGTCAGCTCCTGTTGTTCCTGGTATTGACGGGATGCCTAATCGACCAGCTTCTGGCGTGTGCCGCCATATGTACCATGTGTCGCCATGTGTACCTTGGCAGCTACAGCGAACCCCCTCGTGAGCTTGTATACCCGCCATGCGGCCAAACACCTCAACCTTCTCGCTGTTTTTTCATCAACCGTCACCAATCAAGCACTTACCCATCCGTGTTTGCTCTGTTTTCTTCAATGATGGACGCACAATAGAGTGCACATCAATTATTATCTACGAGAACTTTTCTAGGAACACACTCAGAGTGTAAATATCCTTCCGTGACGTTTGATGTACACATGAACTTTGAAATATCTGGCCTAGTCTATACAGGATTTTAATGGTGATGTGGATTCACTATACATTTGTATACGTACCATAAAGTACATAGGCAACCTCCTGTTTGTAAAGTCTCCAACGGCGAGGTGTACTACTTGAAGTGGAGAGAGGGAGAGCATTCTGTCGTTTGTCCACGTGACAGGGAGTGAATGACTGAAACACTTCTTCGCGGCACAGACTCAGTTTTGTTGTGTGACGCCGCCTCGGAACTCTTGGGTTCAAAGAAGCAAGGCCTTGTAGTATGTAGGAAAAACACTTGTGAAAGCGGATGCCAATTGGCTCGACCTTGGCAATCGGCTCAACTTTGGTGCAGAGACACCTTACACCACAGGGGAAACGACAACGATAATGTCTTTCTTCGTCGTCAACCAGACCCACTGCTGTGCCACTCGCTGCTGTGCCACCGCTCGGGGGTCAACAATGGACGCCGACCTCAAACACATTTGGACAGCGATCTCATAGGGATGCATGGCGTGAAAGTAATCATCAGCGATACATTGAAGGTTGGATATATAGATGTTTCGTAATAGGGGGCATTCGATCGCGAGAGACGAGCGTGAACTTGTTCCTCGACTCTCAAGAGTCACACCCCACAGCAGGAAGATGAAACCGTCACCGTCTCGAACCGGAACATGTTGGCACACGCCTCGCGATTCCAAAACAAACCCAACCAAGGCTATTCCGCCGCACGACGTTCCCACCACACAACACGCACAGCCTACCCAACACTTCCCTCTCTCTCCTCTCTCTCCCTGCCCGATACATCCATGGAGAGGCTTGCGGTGGTAACACGACGTCGATGCCGGAGACGGCGACAGATTTCCTGGCAATAGCAACGTGGTAGAGGGCCTGTCAAACGCCGCCAGGCGCAGCATCTCCAATCAAACCTGCTTCGATGGGTGGCAACCACACGATACTGAAGCATGTGGGAGAGGACCGATCTTGAGTGAGAGAGCCCGGCCCTAGAGATGCGGCAGTAGCGACAAACAGGTGATTGCTCTCCAACTCGCATCTTACCCCTCGCTGTCGCCTTCCTTGTTGCTGTCGTACGGAAGTTTTTTTGAAATCCAGCACCTTTTTTTTGTGTGGACATCAGCGCGGCAGCCCATGCGGCCGCTTGCTCGTTGGCGTTGCGTAATACTCTGTACTTGTACATACAGGCGCTGTGGTTATGATTATACTCCAGCAAAAACTTAGCCGTTTACCCGTCATACCGCTCCAACGAGCAATGGTGAGACGCGCTCGAATGAGCCAAGGCGCCTGTTCACGATCTCAAGACGCAATGTCACACACACCTCTTACAGGTTGACTACAGCAGCATCCAACACACACCGCCGTAGACAACTCGAACCGTTGCACGTTCGTAAGGGTGCAAGGTTGTACCCACAAGCAGCCACTGCTCACGATTTGGGTGAGGTCGTCTGCGCTCAAGGTTGTCCACATTTCACCTTCTGATTACTCGCTGCTTCTCTCAAAACGCAAGGCAGAGTAAGTATACTTGCCAGTTACACAGAGGTTTCTCATCTGTCATCTCGCATTTCTACTGCGATTTTATTCCTGCATCCACGGGTGAAAGGTCCGGGGTAATTTGCTTCACTGCCGGAATTTGTATGCCAATTTTGTAGTGCTCACTGCGTGACATCGAATACATCTCTGTGCCAACGCCGGCGCTTGTACGAAAGAATTCGCGTAGGCCATGATGATTTGTATTTGTTCGGCTTGCTTTATGAAGACACCATTTGGAAGGTGTAGTCGCCTTTTTTGGCAGACGCCCAACGCGTTCCACTTGAGTCCGAAAGCGGCAACTGTAAACTGCCGAGTTCTTGGCGCCCACGCCCAATGTCTTGGAAGTTAAAGGGAATGGAAATACGTCGAGAGGGGGAAAAGGTCTAACGGAACTATCTCTCTCTCTCGCTCTCGGCAACCTAACCAACTCCAACCTGCGGTCCCTGAATGTGTTGTAGGTAGATTGTGCTCCTTAATTTTGTCGACCGCGCCTACGGCTGACCAAAGTTGAAAGCAAAACGTGCTGCTAAAAGCCCTGATCTGGGACCTCTGTAGGGTCTGCGTGTTGGCGTAAACGAGAGAAGATTGCGTTGATGCGAGAGCCCAAGCCTGGGGGATGATGACGATTTTGTTCATACTTTCTGTGGTGACATACGAAAAACTACAGTCTTTAAAGTTCGCTGACCCCGGTCTATCTGATATCGCACGCGCTCTTGGAAACCGGGCTATCGTAGCAAGCGTTGTTTTCTCTCTCTGCTCTTTTGCCTTCGGGTCGGTGCCCTGGACTCGAGAAGCGTGACCCGGCAGTTGCATTTTTGTTACCCCAGATTCGACGTGGGCGAACGTATGAATACGCGACGGCGTTCCACGGCGGTTACGTTGTGTTGTATGTCATGGATTGTCTTTGGCGCTGGAAACCAACGCTGGCTTTTTTGGACACGTTTCCTCCGTCACCGACCAAGCTGTGGTTAAAATTTTTCTGCGTTTATTTTGCGGTCTCGTTTCGGCCACGAAGTCATGCGTTTGCAAATAAAAAAAAAAACAAAATAACATCGCTATACCTGTTTTCTGTCTTCTTTTTTTTTGCTTTCGATGTGGTGGGCGACAGAGAGTGCAGGGATGATTACAACGAATCATCCTGGAGTCCTATCTTGGCCCAGTTCCTGGGCCACGGGACGATGCCGGGCTATATGTCATAGTTACACTGACCTGCACTCTCAGAACGTCTCAACCCTTTGCTGTTTTTGCTGCTGTACACACACATGTGCGCCCCAAAAATATTAGTTGGGCATCGTGTTCGCCGGGTGTTTCTTGATTGTCCACGAAGTTTGGTCGCATTCGAGTCTGCTGCTTCTCAAACCCTGTGACTCCCCCAACGAAAACTATTTTTTCGGAAAGAATGATCGCTTGGTTGGCAGAGATAAGCATCTCCCCCTTGCCCCCTCCATCTCTTCTCCTTCATCCAATAAGAACAGTGGTGATCGTCCTTGGTGCCGCTTGGGAAAGCCACTGTTTCTATTGAGCCCTGAAAACATTGTTGTTTCCCTTTCCGACGATGTCCTGATCCCCTCCCTCTGTTTTGTTTTCTTGACCCACACGGAACAAACTATTCCCCCGCAGAGACGCCACGGACCGGACAGCGGTATGGGCCGTGCTACAAGCTCACTTGAGGAGGATGAAGATGATGGCACGATGCCGGCTTCCGTGTCTATTCGATGCGGGATGGTCCCGTCGCAGCGCTGTCTTTTGGCGGCTCGCTTTCAGCGCTTTTTCTTGCCTTGCTATACTAGCCTTTTCTAGAATATGTAGTAGGTTCTGGCTGCTGAGAATGTTTGTCGTGAGGTCCGAACGACTAGTCTGATGGTTTGATTTCCGCTTCAAAGGCTACCTCGCGCCCAAACACCATGTCCAGCATTTTCCAGTCTGGCACCTTTGCCTCAACCCTTCAGCGGTAGCGAAGCTGGGAGGTATTTTGCGCAAACGGGGTGTTTGAAATGTTTTTGCCTTGGTTTCCTGTGGATGTGGTTGCAGTCCCCCCCCTCCCCCTCACAGGAGTTTGTCGTGTACAACGCGGCTTCGGTGTGGAAACCATTAAAACGTAGCTGTAAAACCAGGGGAAGCGGGGGACGTCATCGGACGGACTGAGGGGACCCTGCGGCAAGCAGTTGGTTTGGAAGCACAAATCGCTTGATATGTAGGCATCGTGAAAGCGCACGCGCAGCGTAGCGATGGATTTCCGTGCCATGGACGGGACGAGGGTGACTTTTTAGATTTCTGCCCCCCGCCATATACTTCCGTCCGTGTTCTCCCGCAAGCCTTGGTTGGCGTCCATTGGCGCGAGCCTAGCCTAGTACCGTGGGTGACTGAAGATATCACACGCCCTGGGCCCATTTTCAAAGCTCGGTTGCCCCAAAACACGAGGGTGGTGGATCCAAAATGGCGTTGGAACCTTCTTGTCGAGAGTTCCAGGACATGTCGTTTGATTCGTACGTTCACAACATGTTGACAGTCCTTCGCAACGCTGGGATTTGTGTTAGGTGTTGCGAAGGTTTCGGGACACTACGAACTTGGTGTCGGAACATTAACATTCGGTGTCCGGCGCGGGTGTGCGCTGTCCTTGCGCCTTTGTAGGGAGATAAAGGGTAGTTCGTGCGGATGGATCTCAGTTTCGGTGTCGATTGCCTTCTAATGTCTGTCGCTCAAGGGGGACTGTCCTTATGTGATGTCGTGTATATTTTCTGGGAAAAGGCGGTTTGATGCACGGTCGAGGTCTTGGCCCTCCCTCATGTAGGGCGTGCTCGACTTCCGCTTTAGAAAAGCTTGCCAACAATAAAGCGAACGATCATCAGATACCACAGGCTGAACAACAGGAAAGCCAAATCCTTGGCAACTGTCGCAATACTCGACTTTTGCAAAGGATTTGGCTGTCCTGTTTTCTAGCCTGTGATATCTGGCGGTCGTACGCTTTCTCTTCGGATGTACTACGGAAGTAGGAAGATGATGGAAGTATTTCGGTGGCCAGTGGCAGCCAAAATTTGCGCGAAGGATATTTAGATGTCATAGCCTCTTGTTGTTTCGATGGTGTCTTGCGATCGTTGTATCCTTTCGGTTGCCGTTGTAGGAACAGATGAAAGGAACTTTTTGGCGAATGGTCCCAAGCGTTGTTGGGTTGAGTCGCTAGTCGTGTAGGGCATATCTGGCACACAGGCATTTGGGTGCTTATCTTCCTCTGGTGGCACGCAGTACCACACGGTGCATGATATTTCGGCATGCCGGCCAACTGTAAAATGTGCAGTGTTTTCGCAGGGCTTTCATAGTGCAGTGTCATGTTCGTAGAGACGATTTGGAAAGGAGGTTGGTCAATATTGATTTTCGATCCCATTCGCAAAGGGCTTTCCTTCCTTGCTGACGACCGTCTGCGCGTCCATAACGACGTCTGTCAAGTACGCGAGAGTCCCCGCACGATGGCGGATGGAACTGTATTTCTTTTTGCTTTTCGTGAAGGTATTGTTTGTGCAACTGTCGACTCAGTACCGTGTGTTGCATCCGCAAAGGGATGCGCGCATCTTGTTTCTTCCGAATGAAGAAAACTTCAGCACAGAGTCGTTCTGTGTCCACCCAAGAAGGGTGCGCCTCTTATTTCTTCCTACTTCTCGTGCAAGCTCGGCGTTTTTTATGGCACACATGCACGAGCATTCGCCACAACGTCCACAGTCAAGGTAGCAGTATATCAGTCCTGTGTGTGGCGGAGAGCCCATATTCAACAGAGTTCGCGAGCGAAAGAGGACGCAAGTACACCATAAAGCTGAAGTTTGTTGAGGTAGTCAGATGTGCGCGTAGATTGCTCACTGATGGGCGGGGGCACGGGATTACTCTGGCACAACACACAATTCGAGAGTTATCTTCGTGAACCGGGATAGATCATGCGAAATGCCACACCTTTGCACGCAGGAAAGGGGAACGTGAGCACATGCGAACATTTCGGTGCGTCAACTAACGCACACTCAGCAGGGACAAGCGACCATACGAAAACGAACGTGAAAAAAAACACACCAAAAGTGACTCGACACATGTTCAGTTTTACATCCGTAGAAATGCGCCGGCCGAAGAAGCAGCCACTTTAAAGCTCGACATTTTGCTACCTTCCAACCACCCACATGACACGCAACACATCAATGCACAAGGCTACATACAAGAAGACACCATACTAAATAAACTGCACCAGGAAGAGGCATGGAAATCACAATATCCCACAGCCAACTACAGCGCACAGCGAGCAGCTACTGCCGCTGAGCGAAGAACAGCCTCTCCCCAAGAACTAGGCCGTTGCTTTCCTGCTGCATCTCGACCACCACGATGCAACTATCGAAAGAAAAGCGTCAGCACAGCAGTCAAACAAACATCGAAACGAAAATACTTCCACCCTTTTCTGCCGATGACGCCGTCATCAGGGAGGTCGTAATAATCGGGAAACCTCACAACTACTTGGTTCTCGGCCTACAGAAGAACCGGCCCGCACTTGCGCACTTGGTAGCCTACAAGTTGACCCTAAAATTTTCCAAAAAATGAACTTGACCATACGAACCCAGCAGGTACTCAGTCAAGCCTACAGTATACTAAAACCTGTATCGTCGCCGTCGGGATACAGCAGTACCCCGTTGACAAAATACGAGGAGCCTCGGCTGAAATGAGAGGTTTTTCTCAAGTGCGGGCCCAAACTGGATCCACGTAATCGCTACGCTTTACCCATCAGCGCCGGCCAGGCCGCCTTGAGGTACCCGCTACCGGATGTAACCGTCAACACGGTGGACACGTACAGCAGGCCCTTGGCGATGGGCATGTAGGTGGCGGGGTTGACAAGCGTCACCGTGGCACCCGGTTCCAAGAGCAGGAGCATGGTAATGGCCATCATCTTCAGGGATGGGGGAGGGGGGGGGACGGGAGCAAGAGGAATGTGCGTGGCAAGGGGGGAGTCAGTGCCTGCGTTTGCGTGCGTGAGGCGACCCAACTCAACAATGCTTTTCACGGTGAACGTAACGGCTGAATTCTTGCCCGTGAAAATATTAGAGTATCAACTGCAAGCGCCGCAGAACCGTGGGAAACAATTTGTGTGTGGCCTTCCCTCCTGCGTGGCTCCGACTGATGCACCCAGAAAATAGACGAAAATCTGCGAAGTTTGGTCTCCGGGATAAACGGGACGAAACACACGCTCAGCGATATTTCAGCATGACCCCTTCTTCTCACGGACACATACATGTACGAGCTCGGGTTCGTCCTGCTCTCCAAAACAAACGAAAACCTCTTCCCTCGTCTTCCTTTCCTCGTGGAGTACGAGTAGACGCAAAAACAACATTAAGTATGCATACATGTACACGTACGCATTAGGGCCGCCATGGGTTCGCAAGACGGACGGATGTTCTGCAACCAAGTCAATGAGATATTTTCTTCTCAAGAGAGTTGTACTTCTCGCCTGCGTCGCGGTTTTCCACTTCCCGGCGTTTCCCACTTTGACGGTTTCCCTCAATCCCAGCTGTGCCATCCACTCACGAAGAGCGCTGATCTGTCAACACAACGCCGCGACGACAAGTATACCAAAGACACGTGTTTCGAGGAATGCACAGCAGTAAGCGTGGTTCGCAGATAACCTCAAAACAGCAACACCTCGTTCGCTCCGGTTGCGTTGGAGCAGGCTACCCGAAACCACAGAAAGAAAGAAAGAAACCTCCCAGAATTTCGCAGAAGGGTCAGGGCAAGAGCAGATCGAACCATGCTGCCTCGCATGCAACAGTAGTTGATCAAGCCACAGCATCAGGAAACTCGTGTGGCCAGCTTCCGAAAAACCGTCTGCGCACCCTGTTGAGGACGATTGGCCCTCTTCGCTATACAAGTAGCATAAGCAGATCGCCAAGCGGCAGATAAACTCTGCATCTACCGGGAGAAGCGAACAGTCCACAGGAGCAATACACTCGGAGCCAATATGCTTTCCGACCACACTGACGCAAGCTCCCGGCACCATGTGCAAGGTCTACGCTGCCAGAAATTCGGATTCTAATCCAACGTGTGCATGTCTCCAACCCACCCCTAGTTCTCGGCAGAGGATAATCGCGGAGCAGACAGTCATCCAGGGTCCCAGCCGCTCCGAGAGAAGAATCAACGCCGTGGACACCAGCAGCTTCAAGCACCGCGTGAGAGGCCAGAGGAAAAGAACACCAGAGGGACGTCAAGAGGTCGGTTGCAGCAGCAGCAGAGCAGCAAGACATCGATGAGCGACCTAGCGCGCCACCTAGCTCTTGACATCTTACATCGACTGTTGACATCTTCCATCGACTGAGGCAACACCGCCCCGGCACCATACGCGCACAGGCGATAGAGAGTAGTGCTATCTCTTGGTGGAAGACACAGCGCGGCATGATGGGACACGAGCAAAAATCTTGGAGGTATCTATTTAGCTAAAAGAGGGGCACCATGGTCTGACGTCCCTCTAGCCCCAATCCCATCTGCTTCTACAGACTGCACACAACACTAAAACACTCAACTCCGTGTATCAGCGTTTCATGATTGCATCTCGCCTCTCAAACCTTGAATAACTCGTGACAGGGCAAAGGAATACATCGAACCACGGTTTCACGCTCGGCAGCCTGAAGCTACATCTAAAAGGTCAACCACACAGAAGCCAATTGCGGGCGATTCCCCCGGTGCGCCCAAGAGCTCTCGGTTGACCTTGCGGCGCTTCTATACCCTCACCCTCACCGTCGTACACCCACACAAAAAAGAAACAACCTACACACCTACGTCCTACGTTGCCATGTAAACTTGAAACTCAAGCACGACAGCAGTACCTTTCCCCCGTCCAATGTCTTCATCGGCAGACTGCACGGCACAAAAAAAAAAGCGAGGTTCTTACGCGTCAAGTCTTCCAGAAAAACTTCACTCTCCTCGGGGAACCCGTCTACCTCATGCACGAACAACCCTTCTCTGGGTAGGACTTTTGCGAACCCCCCTTATCTTTCTGCCGCACCTTATCCGCCACAGGGTCGAGGAAGGATCCGAACGGCGTTACGATGCCCTGCCGGCGAGCGATGTAACCGTCGAGCCAGTCCGTGAAAGCGGCTCCGGCGAAGATCGCCGAGCACCAGATGTTGCGCCGCGGGAGGGAGGCGTAGAAGATGGTGGCGAACACCTGGGGGGGGAGACATTGTGTGTCGGGTGTGTGGAACAACAGACGAGGCACGGCTGTTGAGTGCCCTGTAGGGGTGAGCTACAACAAAAATCCTCATGCAGCGAGGCTTGCGGGTTCAGATTCGAACGCAGTACCAGCGT